GAGCATGAATCGTGCGATCTTGTAGTTCTGGTCAATATGCATCACCAGTAAACCATGAGACGAGAGGATGACTTTTGAGTGATCATAAAAGTTCAACTACAGAAAATCCAGTGTCAATTGTCAAGCACATTGAGAAGGGGTGAAATGAATGACCTGAAGGACGTCATGACTCATCTTGAACACATTGACGTGTTTCATGCACAAATACTTCTGTATGAAATCCATCCCCTGGTGCGGTCATGGTCCTCGAAAGTTTACTCGTAGTCTCCGTACAGGCGGTCCATGATGTAGCGCTCAAAATGCTTGAGGTCCTCAGGAAACTTGGTCATATAACTAGATGGTTCGGTGGCATCGAGAGGAGGTGTAGTCAAAGTGACTAGGACATGTGTCAAATCATGTATAAATCAAAGGTAGATCAGAGAGACATCGTGGGGATCCCAGAACAGCTAGCATTGTCAAATCCATTAAGCTTTGCTTGTGGAGATTCCAAGTGCAATCCTTACAGGTAAGATTCTCCTCGTCCTCATCAAGGCGGTGTGCACGCAAAGACCAACCTTTTTCTCCTTAGTCCCTCGAGGTGCATCGTTCTCTTCTTCTATATCTTGCAAGCCACGTGCAGTGCGCACATTTCATAAAGGTGAATTTGTGTCCTTCACTGCTTGCAGATTTCTGAACAGGGGGGACTCCTTGACTCTGTTTGTTGACATAACCAACGGCTGCCTGGCAGAAGTAAGCAGCGCAGAGATAGGACAGTCAGATTGAACAGCCTTCTGGAACTGCTGAGCGATGGTAGGCATAATTGGATGCTTCGCCTTGCCTTCTGGAGTTGACAGAACCGCTATAGTTGAAATATGGTCATCGTCCAACCCCAGGGGGCGCATCAAGTGCAGAGACGGGAATAAATGGTGGGACAATGCTGAGGCCAATGAAGGGTGACTTGAGGATTGCAAAGAGAGTAGGACATTTTGAGGGGTCTAAAATAGACTGATAGTCCTTAGTATCTGATGCAATGTGGCGTTCAGGCGAGAACTCGTAGAGGTTGTCAGGATCCGTCTGCACGAATGGTTAATTAGAAATCAGGATGCAGGAACGGTATGCCTTATGTATAAATCTCCTTAACCTCTGATAACAACAATAACAAGACACTGATAGACCAAGTGCCAGCCTCAAAGCTGTGCCCATTCACATTCGACAGGACCTCTGAGCTCTTTCTTCCCATCAACATGATCTTCCTGCAATGTGTCTATATCCAGGAAACCCACTTATTCCTGCAATCTAGCGCTTGGTCCTTCTGGGAGATCACCTGCACCCTCCTCGCCAAGGATAGGATCTTGGTGGAATTAATGAATTCCTCAAGACCATATATCTTGCTAACTGCCCATGCTGCATAATCTAGTTGTTTGTAAAATTTGATTATTTTGGACCCTCATGAAAGATGGAAACTGGGACCTGTCACTGATAATTTGTCTTCCGTCTAGAGGCCTGAGGGTATCATGACCCATTCTGTCTCAGACAAATTGATTGAACACGGTGCAAGTCACCAGACATGCTCCCCAATGTACTGCTGTGATCACAGTGTATTTCCCGACAGAGAATGATGCCTGAGGAGATGTAAGACATTGAAGTGGACGTCCTGGAATTCGAATGGTTGTGGACGTGCAACTTGAACAGTCACGTGGACCGCCATCTGACCTTTGCTTATGTGAGCGTTCATTCATTACATCATCAGCGGTGGGATCAACGAAGAACAATAGTTTAACTCTCGACACATCATTCAATTCCAGCTTTGCAAGACTCTGGTAACCAGGTAATCTGTTCGAACTTTTCTTCTATCCCTTCTTCAGATCAGAGCTTTGCGCAAGTCACTGCAAATCCTGGTGAGAAGTTACTTATTACTATAGTGCATTTTCCAACTTGTTGTTTCTGGATGTGTTTAACGCAATCGCATTTGATAGAACACTTTGATGTATGTTGTAAGCCCACGCGAGAGGATGTGGAAGTCTGGTGAGTGTGCTACAATGTGCGCTGCCTGATATAGCTCACGAGGAATCTGAAGACAAGCATGAGGTGATTCAATTCATGTGAAATGGGGGCATGTCAAGCACTGATCTACTACATTTCGTGGTGCACTCCACACCTCTGTTTCCGAGGCTGCAGAGCCAACATGCGAGATTCTCCGAGGATTTCGAAAGTGAGTGCTTGTATGCAGTCTTGGCTGACGCATGCATACTTAGCTGGACTTTCAGCCCTGACAACAAACACCCCACGGGTTCTGGGCGACACCAGTGTTCAAAACTTACAGGACCTCACACACATCGTCAATCTATCATATGCTTCAAGCTTGAACTCTTCAAGACACCTTCGGTTGCATGCCATGAGATAAGTCGTGTTATTGCAAGATGTGGAGGTTCCGTGTCTTTACATATATCTCCCCCCATGATCCCACTCCAGGCACTGCGCAGGTATCATCAAGGTCTCCACAGATATGTCAATATCTCTTGACCCAACACTCCATTCTTATATTGTATAAAGCCATTTTATTTCTCCAATTTACAAGCTGCCACTCACACAGTCCAAGAAAAAACTGTCTAAAAATAAAACATTGTCGGAGATTCAATTTACCCACCATGGCTGTGTTTGGCATTGTTAAGTATAACTCAACAAAGCGACCATAGTGGGCTCTGCTGTGAGTGGCCTTAATAAATATTCGAGGTCGTTGCTTGAAAATTGAATTCAATCTGTATACAACTCACTATGGGACAAGGAGGCCGTAGCAAAGACAGTCAAGAAAAGCGGTACAAGAGATGGGGAGATAAGAAGGATAAGAAGAAAGCTGAGGCAGCTATTCAAAAGGGTCTGCATAAGGTGGTTTATATTAAACTCTGGAACATTCATTTACGGGATCCATTGTTTTTTATTTTTAGACATCCACAAAATCAAGGAAATCCCCTCCGATTTCCTCTCTATCAAGTGGTGCGGTCGGACTGTGCAGAAGATTGTGCAATCCAAGTACCGTGCTACCAGTACACCTGAGCAACTTGAGATGCTTTCATTGAACGGAAAAATTCTCCTTCCCTTAGATCATCTTCCTTCTGCCTCCATTCCTGCTGATATACCCCCATATCTTCTGATGCACTTTGAGCACTTTCTCACATCCGACCAGCAAAAGGGTCTCCAGGTTCATTGGGATCACTTAGTGGCTAGTGGTGCCGAACATCTCCTCAAGAAGGACAAAAATCGCTCATCCACAGACACATTTCATTTTGGGACCTGGGAGGTCACTGGATCTGTTCCTTGTGTCACCTGGGAGACTGAGGCACAGTCTCCCAAGGCTATCCTGGCAATTGATGACCTTTTGCATTTTATCAAAACGTACATTGCTCCAAAAATTGCCTCTGTGTTCAAGGATCACGCTCCAATCCAATGGGAAGCAATCTTATGGTGCATCTTCGTTCTTATAACGGTTGTGCCTGACTGATCCATCCAACTACTCAAGAGCCAATGCTTGTGTGCAGGAGGAACTCAGAGATAAATACCATTCACGTCCCAGTCTCAATATGGGAGGGCCTTTTTTCACCATTGCTGTGAAAGAGTCAGGGTCAGGCATTGTCCACGTTGATTGGAATGATGATAAAGCACTTTATGCTTTTGTTTTCGCAGTAGGTGACTGGGAGAGGGCGAATTCTGTGTGCCACAACTGGGCATCAAAATACCAGTATGTCCTGGTCAGGTCATAGCAGTCCTTGCTCAGGTCCTTGCTCATTTTAGTGCCCCTGTTACAGGTCACAGAATTGTTTTCATGTGTTTCACAGACCACTTGCTTTTCCAACATGGTATTACAAGTAGCCCAGTTATTGTCCTGGGATAGCTACAATGTATTGCTAAGATTGAATTAAACCTTTACCCAAGTTTAACCAAGTCGAGTGGACGTTACGAGAGTCACAGTTGTTTAAATGTTAGTTGGGTCTGAATCTATCAATGCATCTGTTGATCTATCAGTACACCAGGGATACTCGGTGCAGAGGGTTTGTGGGGTGCGAGCCAAAAAGCTTCTAGGCTCATTTATGGATCAGATAGTACTGGGTCAATTGAAAAACGGGAACAGTCCACCGCCGCTTCGCACAGAGGAGAACATGTGCAACCTGAAAGGCCATTTGAATTCCAGATTAGCCACAGACGTCACATTAATGCAACTTTAAGTCACCAAGCAGCTCCAGTGGCCTTCTTGAATATCCATGACACATGCTTTGGAGCTAGCCAGCTTTCCATGATCTCAATCCATCTTGATGGTAGGCTCATCAGTGGTTGGCATGAGACGAGCCACTCAGTACAAATATTGCCTTGATGTCAAGTCACAATGTGCGAGGGGTTTCAAAATTCAAATATAAGAATCAGAGTCACATAAACATTCAGGACATGGAGCCACAGAAGTCAAGGTATTCATTTGCCAATTGGCTTTGCATTTTTTAACATATGACTGTCGCATCTCCACAAAGAACTCATGTGTGACATCAGCAACAAGCGCATAACCTCAAGGATTACGACCACACTCCTCTTCAATGCAAGAAAGTGGTTGGACCTCTATCAACGCTGGAGATCTCTGAGCCAGGAGCACCGAGCTGGAAAGTCTTTGGATCCAATAGGGAAATACGTGGGAATACATCGTATGTTTATGCCTTATTAGATTTTCACAAGTTGCGTGACACCTTCCAGGAGATTGAGCGGTCATTCAGCTGCCAAAGCCCAGACTGGCTCCAGAGTCTACACAGAGTAGCCTCCCAGACATTCTCCTCATGGGAGACAGTCATCCTCATGCCACCCCATGCGCTGCCCATCCGAGTCGAAAAGTTATTGGATTGGTGCATATAGCCATCCTGTGACAACACCGAGCATGGTATGTATCTAATGTTACATAGCTGTATTTATTTCTCATCCATGGACCCTCACTCGGTGTAGGCAAGTCTCATCTGCACCCCAATTTCCTTGTATCTCAATCACAATCAAACCAAAATCAAAACCCAACTGAAGAACATTTCGCCAACAGGATAGGTTTGGATAGGTGAGTCATGGAATGGGCTATGTTCCACATGTGCAAGCTTGATGAAAGACCCAGTAGGGTTCTGCTTTTGAGATGCCTCAATGACCTCTTGAGGAGGCTGATCATCCTTGTTCTGATCAACTGATGGGTAATGCTGAAGATTGTTGACCTGCTCAAGGAAACCCCATACAACTACATCGTGGGGTGCATCTAAAGGCTGGGAAGGAAGATGCTCGATGGAGATATGTGTAATAATCACCAGTATCCTGAATCCAATCCCTAAGTGACCTTTTGGCCATGGAATTCTCCAACAGTTCCCATCAGCAGTCAATGCTATACTGGCTGGATTATCCTGGGAAGCGTGCTGGTCTGGTGCCTGGTGCCACATGTGCCATGATGATGGTGTAGTGGCAAACATGGAGGTAAGAGGTGGTATAGGAAACGCTCCAGAGTTGATCAGTGCGAAATCCTGCATCCCTATCCACTCCGTCTGAGATGCATTGATCGGAAAAGTGATAGTGACTCACCCTTGTGAAGCTGTGCTACCTCCCTTGGGTAGCAAGGTCAGCATTGTGTACTCAGTTCGTGGTGGTGTATAGTCTCCAACCAGTGGACTTTCATCACCTTATGGAGTATCGAAACCAGATGTTCAAGCAAGTTTTGGATGGATTGGTGGGAGGATCTGGACTTGCCCTCAAAATATGGAAGGCACTGTGGTTATCTGCGATGCTATTGCTGGAACTGCGCTGCATATAATACATTGCCGCAGTGGGGTCCTTTCACTCAAATGGGCACCTGTATGCCTTCATGAAGTTTGGTGCAGATTAGGAGATGGTAGACTCCTTTGTCTCATCATTGGCCAGGTGATTGGATTAGTCGCAAGTGTTCCAAGGGCCTGACTAATTTACCATTCAGACTAAAATACAGATGTTGTGTTTCTGTGCCCACAGCTACCCTATTGAACATCTGGCATTTGACCATTCAGGCCTGAAGCTGGCTACTGGCGCCCAACAGGAGTTAAAAGTATGGAGATATTTGTCTTGAGGTCCGCCTTCTCATTGCTTCCCTAACATTTGGGACTTATTTAAGCCACAAGATTGCCTTTAGCATGTCAATGACCTATCTCCCCCAGGAGCTGCCAGTCCGACGGTCCAGGAGTTCACTATTATAACCTCCTTGCACTGGCTTCATTCAGGTGATGACGCAGGTTGCTTGTTGGCGACTTACCAATGTCTATTGCTGAACAATTGCAGTCTCAGATGCACACTGTCATTGCTGAATATGGAGACAACTTAGATGATGAGATCAATAATGAAAAGGGTGCTGATGAAGTGGGCAATGTGCTAGCTATCATCAGTGATCTCTGGGGGACAGAGCATGCTTTATCAAATTTCTTCAAGAAGGCACAGCTTTCCTCATTGTCCATCACAGCACCCAGATCACTCTGCACATTTGTCATTGGCTCTACTGCCATACATCTCAATTTTGACTCCTCATTGCAATGTCAAGCTATCGACAATGTTGCTGAGAAGTTCTGTTTGCCTGACTTGTGAGTAGCACTCACTGATTACCAGGAGAGTCAGACTATTTAAAACCTCCACAAGTTGACAGGACAATGTTGAGCATCACCAAATGCAAGCCTTTCATTCAAGCATCTTGATATCTGGTTTAAAGTGTGTTTGCAGCAAACACCACAGCACAGTGAATCAGCCCTCCTCTCACTGGGGGCAGGGGCCTATTTTTCCACATACCAAATGTTGAATACAGCATGATCTCAGACAGACTTAGGTCACCCTTAATTCTTGTATAAAATTATAGTAACAATTAAAATTTTCTCAGAATTTGGCTTATTTTATATTAATGTGAGTTGCGGATCTTCGCCAGCTGGAACAGTGTGAGGGTGCATTGCAGATCCTGCAGCTTGGTAGTGAGCCTTGCAGAGTTGATAGCGGTTTTTTTTACTGATAGATATATATATAATATATCAATCAGTTTATTGAGTTTATTGTGCTTGATTTAAAAGTTGATTCATACCTTGGGCTTTATTTGACAACCAAAGGTGCGGGATGCCAGCCTCCAGACAGAATTCAAAGTCAGTGCAAATCTTGTGGATCCCAGAAGTCTCAGAGACCATTAGGGTAGAAGTCAAAATGACCATGAGTGTGCCTCACCAAATCACAATGAAGGCTTCAGTTCAGGGTTCAGAACAGTTTGGGAAGGTCTAGTTTGGCCAATATTTGGAACCATGGACTGGACCATGGCAGCACTAGTAGTGATACATCAAACCTACAAGTACAGGTGTGAGTTCAACAACAAGCATGGAGGTATATAAGTGCTTTTACTTAAACAATTTCTTGGACAAAGAGTTGTATCATTCATTGCACTCGGATTTCTATTAGTTAGATTTCATGTTATGTTCTCAGCTTGCAATTTAACTGCATTGTGTTGTCTTTTTTGATTATCTATTTTATCTCTGAGATTGAATCAAGCCCATCTTTTATCTTCAGTGAGATGTGACAGATTATCATTGATCAAAATGTTTGGTTCTCCATCTTTCATAAATTTAAGCCAGTGAAATAAAATAATACCAGCGACAGCATATCCATCAATCACATGAGTGCGCTAGTGAAGTTGTAAGTGTTCATTTCAGTGGTTTTGCAGATGGCCCCTAACATTTGAGAATCACAACTCACCTTCTCTTACTTAAGATTGGATTCTCTTCCTCAGGCTCAAGGTCTGATTATGTCTTGATATCCCTCGATCTGTCTCTTTGGGTTTACACTATTATAGGTCTCAGTTGTCATCACTTCTATGTCAACCTGATGTCTGTTGTTTCTGCAATGATTGGGGAATAAGAAACAAAACCCTCATGATGAGCACAATGTAGAGACTCATGCCTCTCATGGTATGATATGGCACTTTTCACTAAGGAGTTCATTGCACGAACTTGCAGCATCACTCTGTGCTGTCTGCAGCTATCCCTATATGAGGTGCAGCTTTCCCATGCAATGCGCACCATTCCCGTGCTTCGCGATATATATGTGTGCGCTTTCCCGCGCTTGAGCGCCCTATAGCGCCAGCCATCCAGAAGCATCCATCCACTGTCCACCAAGCCCTCTAGTGCATTTATTTCCATTTCTCTCATTAGCATATTGTTCCACCTTTATTTTTATCATGGACTCTCACTCACATATATCTTTACATACCTTACTTGGTAATGCTTTGGCTCTGCATGACAGTGCTTAGGCGCACTATATAAGCACCAGCAGTACATACTACTTTTCAGCTTACCTTACTACCCAACTTTGCACCCACTATCAACCTAGTAGAACATAGTAGAAATCTATTTGTCTACACTTCGCATCTCTCTTTCCTTGTGATTACATCATATCATCACTTAAGCAAGCTTATACTTGGTCTTTATTGTTTCTGCATATGCGTGCGCACTTTCCCACGCTTCGTGCACCTTGTGCGCACCTGCGCTTTCTCATGCTTCACTTCAGCACATACCTCTAGATCTTTGTTGTACTCGCTTCCCCTTTAGGGTTGAATGCACTTGCTGTCTCAAGTATAGCAGACTAGGCAACGCACGACCTACAACATTTACAGATACAGCCAGGAGCCTTGTTCGCGCCTCGCAGTATTGTTGTTTCTACAACTGGAGCCCACCACGAGGGGAACAGTCAGCAAGATCTAGTTCAGCGCATCTTCGCACTTAGCGCCATTTCGCGCATACAGGTCAATCTCTTTGCAATTCAAAAGCTAACCAATTTCTAGTCATGCATTCTCACGCCTTGCGCGCGCGCAATAGTTCCCACGCCTGTGCGCCTCGCGCACGCACCTTTCTTGCGCTTCAATGCCTTATAGAATGCCCATCCACAGCACAGCAAACGCACCCAAGTTCAATGGCACTACAGACAACCTTGCCAAGTTTATTGATGCATATGAGCAGCTCGCTGATGAAGCAGGACTCCAAGGACTCGACCGCATCAAAGGTTTATTCGCTACCTTGAACGCGACGATTGAGAACTATGGGGAGGCATGCCAGAAGTGGCAGTAAATGATTATGATGCATTCATGGCAGAAGTTAAGGTAATGTATCCTGGATGGGATGGTAAAAGACACTATGCACTTGCAGACTTGCACGCCATTGCGCGCGAATATGCTAACAAGCCGATGCCCTCTTGCATGGAACTAAGCAATTACTTGCGCACATTCAGGAAGGTTATGCAGCCACTTATAGATGAAGACCGTATTGGAAAGGCTGAACGCGACTGCTTATTCATGGAAGGAATCCCTAGTGATGCTCAGGTGCAAATTTGCTTGCGCCTTATGATCAAGTTCCCCGACCACTATCCATATGACCCATATCCGTTTATGGACGTCTTTGCAGCTGCGCAGTTCCTATTACCTGCACGCACTTTTCCTGCACCAAGCGCGCCCATGGTAGCGCCAGTGCAAGCTAAAGTGGTTAAGTGCAAAGATCGCTACTACGCAAGCTGCACAACACAGGATACGACCATTAGCCCTAGTGCAACAGCTGGACTCTTCTATTGCACATCCCTAGAAGTTGTACTTGACAAAAGGCCACCAGTTCCAATTCTCACACCTCGCGTGCGCGCCTTTCCCGCGCCTTCACGCGATTCATGTGCACCTCAACCATCAACTGCACCAGCATGCAAAGCTATACCAGACTGGACCACTTTAGATCATGAACTTGAGCGTGCGCTTGTGAAGCTCAACCAGAAGTGTGCTGCAGGTGCCTCTTCACTTTCATCATCAGCACCATCTCCTTCACAATCCGCATCATCATCATCATCAAGCGCATCACCAGAAGTCAAGGATGACTCTAAACATCTATTGCACACTAACACATCACTCAAAACACATGTGCCTATCGCTATCGCATTGCCAGTGGTCAGGGATGACCCTAAACATCTATTGCACAATGACGCGCCCATTGTGGATGTTATTACACCATTGCTCAAGATATGCTCGCCTGTCACAATGCTTAAGGAAGAAATCACGCCAATCACATCATCACCATCACTGCAATCGCCGCTCACATCATCAGAGGTCAGGGATGACCCTAAACATCTATTGCGTCTTAGCATGCCTATAGAGGAGCCTTCTACCACATCAGAGGCTCAAGTCACACCTTGCATCAACCAGAGTTTGCCTCTGGTAATTCCACATGTCACTATCGATCATGCGCACATCGCGCTTTTTACATCTAGTGACTATCGCTTGCCAGTAAAGCATCCATGCATCACGGCACCTGACCACCAAGCAGAGCATGTCTCAGGCGACCCTGGGGTGACTCAGGCACACCATATTGCGCCTGAGGACATGCAATGTGCGCGCCTAGAGGCATTGTATATTTACCCTCATCTCATTTCGCGTTTTTTGTCTCTTTCATGTTTAAAGCTCTTAAGGAGCTACATATATGAGGTGCAGCTTTCCCGCGCAATGCGCGCACACTTCTCATGCTTCACGATGTATATGTGCGCGCGCTTTCCCGCGCTTGATCGCCCTATAGTGCCAGCCATCCAGAAGCATCCATCCACTGTCCACCAAGCTCTCTAGTGCGTGTATTTCCGTTTCCCTTATTTGCATATCATTCCACCTTATTTTTATCATGGACCCTTACTTATATATATCTTTACATACTAGACCTTACTCGGTAGCGCTTCGGTAGCGCTTCGGCTCCACATGACAGTGCTTAGGTACCGTATTCAAGCGCCAGCAGTAGATACCAACTTTTCACCTTACTTGACCTCTCACTTTACCTACTACTTACTACCTAGAAAGTTGCAGTAGAAATCTATTCCTTTACATCTTGCACTCTCATATCCCTTATCTTGCATCATATTATCACTTAAGCTTATTCTCTCTCATTTCCGCATACCTGCATGCACTTTCCTGCGCTTCGCACAGCACACACGCGCATTCCCGCACCTTCATGGCTTGCGTGCACCTGCGCTTTCTCGCGCTTCACTTCAGCACCTACTTCTAGATCCTTGCTGCACTCGCTTCCCCTTTAGGGTCGAACGCACTTGTCGTCTCAAGTATAGCAGACTAGGCAACGCGTGACCTACAACACTTATAGATACAGTCTGGAGCCTCGTTCGCACCTCGCTGTATTGTTATTTCTACAATGAGACATTAGTGAAAGTACCAAGATATCAAAATATAGTAGCTAATGCTTCACCATCATCTTGACTGGAATCCAACAAACCAAACAGCTTTCCTCCTGGACCATTTTTGCCAAAGGTGAAGCCAACCAAGACACCTTGAGCTTCTGGCTCTTTCTTTTCCTTTACCTTCTTTGCTTGTCAATGCTATAAGCCTTGAAGATGAGGAAGTGATGACCATCAACCCAGCACTCTCCTGGGTTTCTTGTATACTCCCCAATGAAGCATATTCTGTCCATGGACCTCACTGAATCTGTAATCATTTTCACAAGGGCATTCTTTTTGGAGACACTCTCACTGCCTTCCATTTAACTTCAACACCAGATCTTAAGTCCCTGTCACCCATCAATATTCTCACCAAATATGCACTCATTAATTCTGATCATGCAGTCTCCCAGTTCATCCAGCATTCTTCCCTCTCCAGTGGCAAGAACACTTGCCGGGACCACAGACATAAACACTTTTACATGTGGAACAAATGTCAATTGCAACTTCACTCTACCTTCCAATCTAAGTGATTATGCCAAGCAGAGTGATCCAATTATACCCTCCCAGTGACCTATTTCCCCTTGGAAACTGTGATACTGTCCTTGTCGATGTTACAAGTGATGACGGCCAAATCAGTATGCATATTTTTTGCTGTCATATTCTAACACTAATGAGGTGATATTCAGCAAGTCGTGTCGTCCAAGTTTGACTTATTTTTTAGCCCAAGGTTCCATGTGCTTCCAATCTGATTCTTCCAACATATCTTTCCAGTCCGCTCCTCTACATATAATATTTTGACTTTGTCACCAATCCCAATGACCATCCCAAACTCATGATGTGGACAGTAGAGCGGTCATATGTGGTGGACCAGCATGGCAAACACTATAGGTGTGATAGTGTAGTATTATTGACAAATGTTACACATGCTGTCAAACTGATACCAGAATATGGTGAGAAGGTCAAGAAGGACATTTCTGTGATGACATGTTTGGAGTCCTATGACTGGTTTTTTCTGAATAACTTTGCAGATAAAGAAAGTTATC